AGATTGAGAAAAGAATAAAGAATAGGGACTGGGCATACACTTTGGGAAACTCCAACATTTGAAAGTTGCAGGAGAAAGTATGAGTGAAGCACTAGGATGAGGTTGTCAGAGGGATAGGAGAAAACCCATGAGTGTAGTGTCATAGAAACAAGAAAAAGAAAATTTAAAGAGGTAGGGAATGATCACAGATAATTCATCTGATGAAAAACCTGATAAAATATGGCGTAAAAATTATCTGAGTTTTTGAACCTTGCAGATATATCAGAAACATGTGATAGATGACCTTATTTGTGAAGCAGTGTGGGTGGACAGCCCCAGGAAGAGTGATTCAGGACTGTGGGAGGCCTGCCCAGGAGCCATCACCCTAGGGGCTTGCTTTCAATCTCTAATCTGATAAATGAGCTCCACGCTATCTCAATTTGAAAGACTTATTTGAAACCTGTACTCTGTCCTTTTGGCAAATAACTTGGGAAATACCTGTCAAAAGCAAAGAAGGATAGTGATGTTCCTACTTCTTCCCAATACTTACTAGCTCTTTAGGGAGCAAACCTGTATTTCTTGTTCTAAACCTAGACACAGCCGCACCTCCTGAGGTGAGCTTTCATTGCTCGGCCCCACAGAGCTCCTCTAACACTGGATATCTCACTGGAACCAGGAGGCAGAGGAGATTCTGATTTCTCATCCTGGAGATATGTTCTTTTTCACAGCAAGCCTTTTCTATTTTGAGCTCTCAGTGTAGCTTTCTTTAGTCTTTGGTCCAGAGGAAAATTTAGGCTGAAGAAGAACCTGTTACTTCTATTTGCCAATATTTCAGGAAAAGTCCAGTTTCAGGGATTAGGAAGAGTGGCAGTAATAGAGAGCATGTAATTTGCTATAATCTCCTTACTTTCCTGGAAAACATTAAAGCTTGGTTGTTTCCCTGTGGAAACACTTGGCCGTGTGTTTGCGTATTTATGGTGACTGACTCCTAGACACACTGATGGTATCTAGACCCGTGAAAGGGGGCATTCTTAGTAAGGAAAACAGTGACCCCAAAACCCATTACTCTTGTGGGGTAAATGTGAAGTAAAATACATGCCCTCGCTCTGAGCCTATTAATTCAGAACCATGTGCAAAATGAATTTAGTTATTTCTTTAATTTGTCTGATTCACACCTGATGAGGCAATCAGAGCCTCTGAGTGAGGCATGAAATTATATAACAAACTGGTTCACTCAAAAGTGAGAATGCTTCTGAGAGAAGCCATTCTGCTGCTTTGGGGAAAAGCTGTTTGGACACAGTTTAAAGCCTCATAAATGTGGTTTTTAATCAGTGCAATCCTGGCCAAGTTTAACCCTACTGACTTAGTGGATCTTGGTGGTTATTTGAGGATCTACTCATATATGTTAATATCCCTATGAGTGAGATTAAATGATTTGTTGCATGACTGGTGAGATGACACAACCTGTAATGTTTTAATTCTATGCAGTTGAGTCACTCTTTCTGATTTTGAGCCCTAAATGTAATGTAGGAATAACACAGAGTACTTGCCCTGCCTGTATCATGAGATTGTGAAGATCAAACAGGATGATGTATGGAAAGCTGTAGAGAAAGATAGGACTTGGTTTACTGTAATGTAATCACCTCCTCTTCAAGAAATTGTGGCTATGGCCTTACCTCCTGTCAGTCATTGAGTGTTGGAAGCTTTTGGTGGTATCATAACCCTGTTCCAGTTTATTAGCACCCAGCACTCATAAACCCCCAGGATTACCACAAACCTTTAGGAGTCTTAAAGAAAAAAAGACTATTATTAGCACTGAGGAAAATAGCCAAGAGCTTCATCTGTAAAAGTCATAGACAATGTCTTGTTATTGATCATTTCACCAGCTTAGATGGAAAAGTACATTTTCATTGGCTGGTGTTTGTTATAATAGATAATTCTGTTAGCACCAAAGCTATAAAGCATAGGCAAAGGAGAGTAGGATAAGGTTGGTACATTATAGGGTTCTACAGAGAAACAAAGTCAATTGGATATGTACAAATATTCTCATATCTATTTATTTACCTATCATCTACCTATCTATCTCTTAAAATATTCATTCATTTATTTTAGAGAGAACATGGAAGCAGGGGAAGGCACAGAGGGAGAGGGTGTGAATCTCAAGAAGACTCCCCACTGAGAGTGGAGTCCAACTCAGGGGCTCAATCTTATCATCCTGAGATTACGATCTGAGGTGAAATCAAGAGTTGGCTGCTTAACTGACTGAGCCATCCAGGTGTTCTTATCATGTATTATAGGAATTGGCTTACACGATTACAGAGGCCTAGAGGCCCCATGATCTGCCATCTGTAAGCTGAAAAACCAAGAAAGCTGGTGGTGTGATTCAGTCTGGGTCCAAAGCCCTGAGAACCAGGGAAGCCAATGGTGTAAGTCCTGGTGTAAGGCCTGAGAACCTTGAGCACCAATGTCCACGGGGAGGAGAAGATGGATGTCTCAGCTTAACCAGAGAGCAAATTTATTCTTCCTCTTTTGGTTCTACTCAGGTCCTCACTAGGATGATGCCCACCTACATCGATGAAGACAATCTACTTTATTCAGTTTGCCTATTCAAATGCTACATCCAGAAATGTTTACTAGTTGTCTGGGCATCCTTTAGAACCAGTCAAGTTGACACATAAAATTAACCATCACAATTGGAAAAGAGATAAGAGAGAAAAAAAGAAAGAGCAGATGATTCAAGAGAGAGTAGCATAAAGCAGCAATAACTAAAAGTGATAATGAAGGCAATAATAAGCCCTGGATCAGTGGAGAAAGAAATTCTAAAGTTTTTAAATTTGGAAGGGCTAGAGATCATTTGGTCCAGGCATGGCAAATACATAGGTCATGAAGGCCACAAAGACATGCCAGTCCAGTGATTGCTACAGATTTGCACAGACCTTTGTGAGTATGTTTATCACCCCTATACGGACTGTTTATTTCTAACCATGCATTAACTTTTAACTATTTAAGAAGACACAGAAACCAAGACACACTGATTAAGATCTTAGTTGTGAAATGTCAGGAAATGATAAGATAAAACCAAGAAGAAAAAACAAATAATAAAAATAAGAGAAGGTAGGGACGCCTGGGTAGCTCAGTGGTTGAGCATCTGCCTCTGGCTCAGGTCATTATCCCAGGGCCCTGGGATCGAGTCCCACATCTGGCTCCCCACAAGGAGTCTGCTTCTCCCTCTGACAATGTCTCTGCCTCTGTGTCTCTCATGAATAGATAAATAAAATCTTTTTTAAAAAAATTTTTAAATAAAAAAAAAAGACAGAAGGTAAAGTAGGGGGCTTGGGAGTCTGTAGATGATGAAAAGATAGAGGCCAATTATCAAACAGATTTTTTTCTTTCCAATCCCAAAGCCCAGGTCCAGAAATTCAAATAACACCTGCCCTTGCAGGTGCAAAAAGGCAGTCAAAACAGTTATTCTTTACCTTTGGATGTCACCACTTGTAAAGCCTCTCCTACATTTTACCTAATTGGTCCTCACAGCAGCACATTTTATAGGAACTGTGGTCAATTTGTTTAAGTGATTTGCTCCAGGTCACAGAATTCTAAACAAAATTCATCTACAAATTCAAATTCTAGGCCTTTGTCCCATGCTATGCTCCCTCTTGCATCACCATGTGAATTCATGAAAAAATACAGGTTCTACCATCAGCCAGCTGTATAATCAAGGATGAATTACAACTTCGTTAGGGCTTAGCGTCTTCACGTGGAAAATGAAGTTACACTAGAAATGAATGATCTACGGTTCTGAAAGTCTATGAACACAGAAGTCTCTACATCCATGAATTCTAACAAACTACTATTTTTAAATTGCCAGTTATGATTTACTAATGGATCATGAAATTAATCTAGTGGGTAGCCACCATTCCCTCTTTTTTCTTTTTTTAATAAAATAGAATGAAAAGGGTTTGAAGAGAGTATGGTAGGGTTTGGAAGGAAAAAGTGGAGAGGGATAGGACAGATAAAAATGTCAGCAGGCACCACACTGAAGTTATGGTGAATGTTGCTTATAAAACTGGGTATGTATACTGAGTCATAACATAAAATTTATTTATTATAGACTCACATGATACATAATAGAGGTTTACTATATTCCCCAAATATGTATACACTTGCTGTTTTTAGTGGTTCATTTTGGCTCTGGTTTGACTTTCTCTTTCCCCTTTGGCATCACTCTGGTTCTCATCTCCTCTCTCCTTTTCACACTTACTCAGCATCCACCCTCCTTGGGGAAGCTTCTGACTGCTGCCACAGAAGAAAGAAAGTTCCAAAGGAAAGGAAGGCATCAAGGTGTCAGATGTAATTGCAGATTCTGCTAAGCTCATGACATCTGGTTTCCTGAAAGGGGGAAACACAAAGGATGAAAACAGTCTCATTGGGATGATACTGAAGACCCTGGAGATTCTAGACAATAGTGTTATTGTCTGGAAGGGATGGGACTCCAATTAACTACATCTTTGGCTCTTCAACCCCTTCCTTGCAGGGAGGTGATTAATATAAATGCATCCCAAATTTTCACATTAGGTGGTGTCTCAGAAGAGGACTTCATGAAGGGAAGTGGGAGTTGTATCTGTTCTCCCAAAGCTGGCTGCCAAAAAGAAATTGTTTACATTTATATAGAAATGGAAGTTTAGGGAGGGAATTGAAGACTTAAGCTTCCAGTCTAGTGCTTAAAAACATTGTCCCCCAAAAGGGATTTCTCCCTACAGTTCAAGTTTAAGCAGATGAGACAGGAGCTCCATGGAACTGGATAGGAGTTTCATGACCCTGGAGCCTTCCACAGGAAATTTCCAATCATTGCCCTTTCCTGGAGGCTCTCAGCTATAAAAACTCTGGCTTCCTGTGTAATTCAAAATTCGAAGTCAAGGTCAGTAGCTAGAGAATAGAGCCCCTCTGCTATCAGATTCTTAGTCACTCAAGGTCTGAGATGAAGGTCAGGAAAAACATTTGAAAGAAATCTTTAACTCTAAATCACCTGGGTGGAAACCCAAGATGTGACATCCTAATTCTTCCTAGCAGTCTGGTATCAAAAACAGCTTGGCTTGGAATAATGTCCAGGAAATTATTAATGAGAAAACACCATTCCTAGCAGCCACAGACTATTAAAGGTATATGAAAGGTAAGTGTGATCTCATGGGTTCTGCACAAATATTTTCTTTTGGTCTTTTAATGGCAACACCAGTGTTCCTTTCATGGGGTTGCAGGCAGAGGTGAGGCAAGGGTGGCTCCAGGTTCTAATTGGCTCCCTGTGTTGAGCTGTGTGCAGAGGATCACAGTGTCCATTTCAGATCTGTCTGGCAATGATGCCTTGTCAAGTGCTACTGTGTTAAGCAGCCCCTGTGGCTTTATAAAACAGTTGACCTGCTATTGACCTGTTTTGTGTCATTGGAGCTCAGGAGCAGTCGCTCTGGTCAAATACTTATGGGCCCCATGATAAATTATAATGAAGATTATAAAGGCACAAGCAAGCCTAATGGCTCCCAACTGGCCCACAGTACAAGGAGCAGTTCCTGTTGGAGGAGCATGGGTGAGCCCCTTTAGGGAGGCCAGGTCAGCAGCAATGACTGCGAAGTTGCTCTGTGACACCCCTTTCCCAACTCCTAGCCCTCCAAAGAAAGCCAAATGGTCCATCAGGGTCAACTCTACATTTTTTTTCAGAAAACAAACCTTTCCTCAATTAATTCCCAGATTCAAAGGTGGCTGGTACAAATTTCCACAGGTAAAACTTCATCTTTATCTTCCAAAATGACTTACCAGGAATTATCATTCTATGCTTGTGACTGGGCAAGGGAGGTTAAGCGTCACTTCTGCCCTGGCCATAGTCAAATAGGTTAAGCGCCTGAAGACAAGAGAACCAAAGCTCTAAAGAGACACTGAAATTAGATAAAATCAACATCACATATAAGACAGGAAGTCCACCAAAGATGATAGGAGAGGCCATTGGTGATGCACATCTGGACGAGGTAGGAAAGGTTGCTAATATTTTTAAGTGTCTACTATGTATCACACATATGTTAGGAATTATTATCTTTTATCCCATTTCAACTTTTTCATACCCTTAGAGGGAAGGCATTATTTCTCTTTTTTAACAAATGAAGAAACTGATGCTTAGTGAGTGTTTGTTTTGTTTTGGTTTAGCTTTTTCTTTTCCAGCTTTATTAAAGTATAATTGACAATTTAAAATTGTATACATTTAATATATACAACTTGATGATTTGATATATGTATACATTGTGAAATATTCACCACAATCCAACTAATTAGCATACCAATCACCTCACATAGTTACCACTTTTTTTTTAAGATTTTATTTATTTATTTATTCATGAGAGACATAGAGAGAGAGAGGCAGAGACCCAGACAGAGGGAGAAGCAGGCTCTATGCAGGGAGCCGAATGTGAGAGTTGATCCCGGGACTCTGGGATCATGCCCTGAGCCAAAGACAGACGCTCAACCACTAAGCCTCCCAGGCATCCCAGTTACCACTTTCTGTGTCTGGTGAGTTTTAAGTAACTTGCCTCGATATCAATTCCTTTGGGATATGAAGATTAAATAAGATTATGTAGGTACGTTCTTAGAACTCTTTATATAATGCCTAATATATGCTATTTTGTGATTGCTTCAGATTTCACACCTTGAAAAATCTGTGACTGTTATCGGTAGCTTTTTGGAAGAGACCTAATGGAATAGTTGAGTTAGGAACTTGGGTCCAGGGACTAAGCCCCAGAGCCCATTGCTCTCTCTAGTATGGTTTTCCTTGTTTGTCCATTTGTTTATACTAATCTTCACTCTTTGAAGTATTAATAGATGGTTCACAGGAAACAAATGCATGTTCAAAATTCAGGATCAAGAAAAATGAGAATTCATTAAGCCCAGGCCAAGAACACAAAGATGGAGACCATCAGGAGTGGGGCAGCTGCTATAGCCAAACCTCAACTTACTGAGACTGACTTTTCCCAGAAAAATCCCTAGCAGAAGGAGATGTGATATGTTGCCAGCTTTCTTTGTTCAAGAGGAAGGAATTGTGACAATCCCTTAGAGGAAGTAAAGTGTGTCTTTAAATTTTTCACTAAAATATATTACTCACATGAAGTATCATATTAGAAGCACTGCATGGGTAATGTCCTTACCAATGGAAAATGCTCTTGTAATATCTCTTAGTAAAAGCCAGCAAGGTAACAAAGCACAGCTCAGGGAAAGTAGCCTACTGGAAGCCAAGCAACATGGTCCAGTTATATCTTTCCCATGGTCTAGTTTGATCAAAGAATGATGAACAGAACATCTAAAGAAATTAATGGACTTGTTAACAGTCCTTCATAAAGACTACTTTCTTAATAGAAAATAATAGAGGAGAGGGATCATTCATGATCTGTCCCACCCTTTAACTCTCCCTTTTCTCAAGAATCTTCTGCATCCCACTTGCACTAAACACAGGTGGTTAGAACAGGGCAGGCATTTCATCAGATGGCCAGACAGAGATCCATGAGACCAGGCTCAATAGATGAGCAGAACCAATCAGATTTTCCCCCAGGAATTTGAATCCCAAGCCCCATTTGGAATCAGGAATGTTCTAAGGGCAGGAGTGGGAGACACTCTGATAGCCAAGTACTAAGGTTGAGGAAGAAGAAAATAGATAGCATATATAATCAGAGAAAGCCAGCTGGTAAAAAGTAAGGACAAAGCACATCTACACAGAGAGACCACGAAGCTCCTGAGAGAGGGACTGTGATCATAACTTGCCCCAAAGGCTGGCTTGGATCCAAAACCACCTACCATTTCCAGACCTGGTTACAATGTAAGTTTTATTTTTGTATTCCTGGGAGAGTACAGAATTCTAATAATAAAGTCCAATTTTCTTGGGTGAGGTTGAATGGGTCTTTACTCCTCGCAAATAAGTGAGCCTGAAGAGAACACAGCCTTCTAGTAAGAGCTGAACAACAGAGAGTACGATGTTCCAGTCTCTAGATTGCAGGCACAGTGGTGTTGATCCAATACATAGGAGAACAAGAGCAGGTGGTATGACACTCAGAAACTTGGATGAATCCAAAGGCGTTATGCTGAGTTAAAGAAGCCAATTGCAAAAGTCACATGCTCTATGACTCAATTTATATGTCACTCCTGACAATACAAAATGGTAGTGACAGAGAACAGATCAGTGGTTCCCAGGGGTGGCAGGAGGGGAGAGTGTGAATATGAAGGGATAGCACAAAGGAGTTTTGGGAGTAATGGAGCTGGTCCGTATCCTGATTGTAGCAGTGGTTACACAAATCTATACCTACATTTAAAAATATAGAACTAGAAAAAGAAAAGAAGAAAAGGAAGAAGTGAGTGAAGACAGGAAGGGAATACATCAGTGATGATCCCTTAAGTAAACAAGGTCACTAAACAGAAACTCAGCCAGACCAGAAGGAGGGCCCACTCTCAATAAAACTATTTTGGCTTAGGCTCTCCCCATGCTCTTAGCCTTATCTTTTTATCCCTCGATACCTCCTACTCTTCTTTCTGGTTGGCATTGCCTTCATAACAACTCAAAGAAATGAGCAGTGAAGGTGGAATTTCAAATATAAGCCAAGAGATGGGGGAGGTTTTGATAGCTGGGATCAGAAGGTCTCACTATCCCTCCTAAAATCACACTGTAAATACAGAAAATCCTCTATTCTTCCTACAGATAATCTTAGTATGAGAAGAAGCAAGATAACCTAGAAAGAAGTAGCACTAAAACTTTGAGGGATAAAGAAATAAAAATCCCTAAGCAGAAACAGGCTGGATATGAGGATATTGAGAATTAAGGCAAAAGCTGCTTTTACTCTAATCAGGATGATTAGATTCAATATTTGGGGTTGGAAATATGGGTAGAAAGCAAAGGCCTTTGTTCATTCTGGTGTAAGCTACTTAGGACTTCCCAGTGAGGCAAGAGAGGGCCCCCCCCCCACACATGGTCCAGCATAGCTTCCTGGTCTTAGCCAACAATGGCATCTTGCTTTGCATCCATTCTCCAGGTATATATTTTCTTCAGGAACTTTGCAGGGAAGTATAACTCAGCAGAGTATGAACATTTTTGGGTTCCCTGACCAAATGTCATCAAAATACTATCAAAACCTTACTCCAAAGTGTTATTTCCAACAATGGTGTCCTGTTGATCTTATACCTGGTGTTTAGAACTGTGGTTTGACATATAGCACACAGCAAGTAAGAAACATTGAGTGAGTGAATGAAAAAGAGGCAAACAGAGAAAGGGAACGAGAAAGGAGAGAGGAGGAGACGGAAGAAGGAGAAATAGGCAGAGCCTAAGGCTCATTCTCTCGGGGAACATGCTGTATGAACATGACAGTCAGCACATATTTATTGAGTGCCATGCTGGAAATCCTCCTTTGTCTTCCATAGATTCACTCTCCACCTCTGTCCACCCTGCTCTGAGCCCTAGGAGGCCAAATTGTATATAGACTGCAGCAACCCTTGCAGAGCACCCTTGATTCAGGGATTCAGTCCCTAAGGAGCCCCTTGGGAGATAAAGGAGGGAGGAGTGTAATATCTGAGAACTGATTTCCCTGCTCTTTCTCTAAGGGTTTGCCATGGCCAGGCTCCAGACCCTGAATAAAGTAGCTGTTAACACAGATCTCAGTGTCTCCGGTTTCAACTGTCCCCCCCTTGCCTTCAGATTTGGGGTAGTAATGGTTCCCCACTGTTGTTAATCTAGGGTGCTACACTATACCTTCTGGTTTCCTACATCCTACTCACATCTTTGTAAATAATCATTTCAGTAAACTTTGAGTTATTTCTATTTGAGATCACCAACTGCTTTCTGCCAGGACCCTGATACAAGAGCCACCTATGGACCAAGCACTACGGTAAGCTCTGGGGACACAGATATGGATTAGGCACAGCTCCTTTAGGACTTTGGGGTGCAGTAGGCAACAGACACATAACAACAAATTCTAATGCGGACTGGAGTGTGCGATGAGTGAGCTATGCACAGGGTGGTGCTTTCCAAGCCAATTTCTGGAAATTAAGCTGAGATCTGCCTCTCAGCAAAGCAGTGGAGAGCTCCCACTGTGCACTACAGAAAATCCAGAGATAATGCTTGCAAGAGCTCATCTTCCTGAATTCTTTACTGGTCCCTGGAAGAGTAAGGAATGACTTGTTTGAGACTTCCAATTTGCATTGCAGAAACAAAAGCAAGTTCAACATGGAATCTTGCTATTCAAGCAAATCTATAAATACAGAGAACAAACTGATGGTTGCCAGTAAAGGGAAGGGCAGAATGGATGAAGGAGAGTGGGAGATAAGACTTCCAGTCAGAATGAATAAGTCACAAGAATTATAAGCAGAACATAGGAAATATAGTTAATGATATTGTAATCGCATTGTGTGTATTACATATGTATTACATATGAGACATGGTAGCTACACTTATACACTTAAGTGTATACACTATACACTTATGGATATAGCATAAGGTATAGGGAAATTAAATCACTATGTTGTACACCCCAAACTAGTGTAAAATTGTGTGTCAACTATATTCAAATGAAAAAAAGAGAGAAAGAAGGAAAGAAAAAGAAAGAGAAGAGAGAAAGAGGGGCACCTCTGAGCAACTGCCTTTGGCTCAGGTTGTGATCCTGGGGTCTTGGGATGGAGTCCTGCATTGGGCTCCCCACAGGGAGCCTGCTTCTCCCTCTACCTATGTCTCTGCCTCTTTCTGTGTGTTTCTCATGAATAAATGAACAGAATCAGAAAGAAAAAGAAGAAAGGAAGAAAGAAAGAAGAAAGAAAGAAAGAAAAAGAAAGAAAGAAAAGAAAGAAAGAAAAGAAAGAAAGAAAGAAAGAAAGAAAGAAAGAAAGAAAGAGAAAGAAGGAGGGAGGAAAGAAAAGAAACTTAGCTATATAATTGACTGGATTCTTCACATTCTCCCACTAGCTTACCACAGCCCTTTTAATCAGTTTTTAGTTTCTGATTACCCTTAAATGATTTTTGGCTAATTTCTTAACTGATATAAGAAATATCACAGCACATTTTTTTTCGGTAAACAAATAGGGTTTCATTTTTCTCATATGACGAGAGAATTTAGGATGATGGGCTGTTGCTGATTTTGTTTCAGTGGCTCAACAGTGTTTTCAAAGACCTGGATTCCTTCTACGTTTCTGTTCCACCAACTGTAGCATTGTTAGCTTTTCTTCCTCATGCTCGCTGCCTTCTGGTTACAAGATGATGGCCATACCTCAGGCATCATGGACAAGTTCAGGGGGAGAAAAAGGCAATAGGTAAGTTCTCCTCTCCTGCCTGTACCTTTAATCAGGGAAGCAAAGACATTTTCAGAGAGGGAAGCAGACTTTCTCTTGCATCTTAATGGCCTGGAGTAGTTTACATGATCACCTCCAGCTATTAGTTTTGCTGGGAAATTCAGTACCTGGCTTTCATTTTGTGCTTGGTTGTCCTCTTTTCCTGTTCCTATCATTACCAAGTTCATTTTTTCCCTTCGTTTTTGCATCTAGCATAGTCTCCTTTTACTTGTTCAGGAAGTCACTCTTGTAGCTCACTAAAGAGATCCTTCATGCTATTTTCTCTGAACATGCTACCTAGAGGAAAAGCTTGGACTGACAGGTCTCAGATAGCTCTTAACTTGCCCTCTTTATTAGGAGGTATCAGTATGTCCTAACACAAAAACGTTACTGTAATAACTCTGTGTGGAACAAAAGAAAACCTCTATGAGTGTATGAAATAGTAACAATCACATCCTGGAGGATCTAAAATGTAACTTGAACAGGGTCTTCAAATAAAAGTAGCAACAAAAAAAAAACTGTCTCAATTTTTAAAAGATGGTTATTCTGCAGGTCAGACAGGACTCAGAAACAATGGCAAGGAAAGAGTGAGAGAACCATATGTACCAGGGCTGGCCATCCACAAGCCATCTGTCACCTTACATGGTCACTATCCTTCCAGCCACTGAAATGAAGAGGAGACAATGGCAGAAGGGTCAAGAGCAGGGGCCCTGGAGCCACACCTTGGCACCAGCACTCCATAGCACCATGATCTTTGGCAAGTTCCTTGGGCAAGCTTCCTCAGAAATGATAATAGTATCTACCTCATTGAGGGGTGAAGATTAAGTGAAATATACATATAAAACATTTAACAGTATCTGGTTCAATATATTACATTCCTCCCTCCCCAACACACACACACACACACACACACACACCATTACAAAGTTATTCAAGATCATGTGGAACACCAACATTACCTACTGCACATAAGCACTCAAAAATTCTAGTTCTCATAAGGATGCATCTGACAATGAGCTACCCCTGCTCCTTAGGAGGAGAGTCAAACTCAACGAATTAGAAGATGTCCTCCATGAGATTTACATCAGTAAGACAGGGAGCAGTAAATAAAAGCAACAGATTAGTGCAATATTACTAAATCCCATCATTTAGGTTCCCGCCTGGCAGATTTAATAAATGAGATCTATCTCTTCTTGGTGGATGCAGTTGCATAAGTACCATCTAAATCAGGTCTGCAGAGAATCAAGTGACCTGATGGATATATATCTTCTAGCTCAATAGCAGAAATGCATGGAGGATTTGGAGGGATTTGTGCCAGGAATGAGAGAATGTAATGTTTGTCTTGAATTAACTAATTTTTATAACCAATGGACTGTGAGTGATATTCTCCTGCCAAAGTAGATTTGTGACCTGCCTGAAGTACCAACTATGTTCCAATTTATATAGTAAATCTATTTGGTAATATGAGGTGTTGCAGCAATTTTAACACATCAGTAAAGATGGAAATCAATTTATTTTCCTTAGTATTTGACAACAAGCTTTGTAAATAAAACAAGAAAATATGGAGTTTCTGGGGCTATATTGCTTCTACCTTTACTACTTTGTGGCTGCTGGCTGAGGGCAGGGTTTTAGCCCCTAGAGATTGCACTCTGACACAAGACCAAGCCAGCTACCCGGGGGCCACTAGCCAATTCAGTTGCTAGGAAGAGTGAGCTCTTCTTCAGGACAGGCCTGTTGCTGGGTTGATGAGTAGGAACTATGCTTTAATGGGATCCCTGGGTGGCGCAGCAGTTTAGCGCCTGCCTTTGGCCCAGGGCGCGATCCTGGAGACCCGGGATCGAAACCCACGTCGGGCTCCCGGTGCATGGAGCCTGCTTCTCCCTCTGCCTATGTCTCTGCCTCTCTCTCTCTCTCTCTCTCTCTCTCTCTCTCTCTCTCTCTCTCTGTGACTATCATAAATAAATAAAAATTAAAAAAATAAAAAATAAAAATAAAAGTGTGTCCGGGAGCAGCCCTGGTGGTCCAATGGTTTAGCACCGCCTTCCGCCCAGGGTGTGATCCTGGAGACCCAGGATCAAGTCCCACATTGGGCTCCCTGCATGGAGCCTGCTTCTCCCTCTGCCTGTGTCTCTGCCTCTCTCTGTGTGTCTCTCATGAATAAATAAATAAAATCTTTTCTTAAACATTCTGTAAAAAATAAAAATAAAACAAATAAAAGTGTGTCCGGTATGGCCACACATCCTATCTCACCTGGAGAAGGAGGTTCAGCAGATACTGGCATTCCTACTTTACAAATAAGGAAACTGAGGCTCAAATACAAAGGATTTGCTGAGGACAAAGGTGAAACTCAAATGCTAGGTCTATTGACAATAATCCTGTTTTTTTGTTTATGAATCCACAAAGCAATTTAATCTCTGCATAAGCCTATCCCTGTCTTCTGAGAAGATGAGAACATAAGGTCACAGATACAAGTAGGAAGTTGTAGAGCCAAGAGGAGGGACTTGCAGGCAGAGTGAACACGTGTAAAAGCAATAAGATTTACATGTGCTGGGTGAGACCTCCTCTTTCTGCTGAGATGGAGAAACCCAGAAAGAGCATCACTCCTACACTTACAAAAAAAAAAATCATTTTTCAAGGCCAAACACCACATACAAAACTTTTCTTGAAACCATTAGGGAGTTGAGGTGATAGGACAACCAACTAACTTAAAACCTGAAGAAAGACAGGCACATGCAAGGAGAGATGAGTCATGAGCTCTTGCTTACCTCGGGCTGCTGGACAGTGAAGAACTTAGCTAAGACTATTAGTAAGTTGGTAAAGGTTGAGTATGAGCTAGCAAGAGCATTTAGAACCCCTTGAAGGAAGTGGATCTATAGGAAATCCCACCCACTTGCAATTTCTTCTTCATAAACCTCATGGGGCACTCACAGAAAAGTCTGGCATGAGTCCTAAGAAAGCATCCCTTGTGTTACAGGCATAGAGGAAGGAAATAGCAGCTTCTGCAGGAAATACAAGGAACCTAACCCAGATCCTACTGCTCTATCTCCCCAACAGAACAAAAGCTTTAAACCACTGGGAAGAGAGCACCAAACACTGTCACCCTTAGGACATGAAAGAAAACCTACCACAGTTGAAGGAAGAAAATAAAAAGGAACTCTTGACTTGTGGAAGAGGTAAGGAATGAGGGTGAGATGGAACGTGTGCTGAGCCAGGACTACCTCTGGTGAGGCAGAAGCACAGAGAGCACCACAGTCCTGAGGCCCAGGGACACAAGACCTATCTGAGACTGTCTACTTCAAATGACAAGGAACACCTCTCCACTCCCCACCACTCCCCATGACCAGGCTACCAAGCAGCAAGAGACAAATAACGATCAAATATCACTGAGAGACTTATACAAATGTGGAAAGAGACTCTCTGAAGCACAACTCAAAGAGAATATGGAAACCTGAGGATGGAGAAGACATTAAGAAAAATCTTCTGACAAACTAGCTCCCACTCTAAATACAAAGCAATGCCACAGAAATTTTAAGCCTGCAATGCACTATGGCTAACCATGACAACAACAAACCCCAGCCCAATTAACTAAAAGCCTAGCTAGCAGAAGGAAAGGTGTGCTCATTCCAGGCACAAAAACAATTTACAGACTACTCTATGCTATTAAGCCATTCACCTTCTTAAAAAAAAAAGTTACAAGGCATACCAAAAAAAAAAAAAAAGAGGAGAAAAATTACACTATCAACATAAAAAGCCAAAAGAAGCTAGGTATATCATATTAAAAATGCTTAAAACATAGGACAAATGTTGAAAATCTTTAAGAGATCCAGGGGGAAAAGATATATACAAGGGAACAAAGATAAGAAATACAGAAGACTTCTTATCAGAAACCAAGCAAGCTAGAAGACAATGGAGTGACATATTTAAAGTGCTAAAAGAAAAGAAAAAAAAAAAAAAACAACAGCAAAATAACCAGCAAAAATATCTTTCACAAATTAAGAAGAAATACACTCATGAACAAACAAAAACTGAGAGAATTCGGGAGGAGGGGCAAGATGGCGGAAGAGTAGGGTCCCCAAATCACCTGTCCCCACCAAATTACCTAGATAACCTTCAAATCATCCTGAAAATCTATGAATTCGGCCTGAGATTTAAAGAGAGACCAGCTGGAATGCTACAGTGAGAAGAGTTCATGCTTCTATTAGGTAGGAAGACTGGGAAAAAGAAATAAAGAAACAAAAGGCCTCCAAGGGGGAGGGGCCCCGCGAGGAGCCGGGCTGAGGCCTGGGCGAGTGTCCCCCGGACAGGAGAGCCCCCTCCCGGAGAAGCAGGAGCTGCACCAATCTTCCCAGGCAGAAAGGCCTCGCAGGGAGTTGGAGCAGGACCCCAGGAGGGCGGGGATGCCCTCAGGCTACCTGGGACAGTAACAGACACCTGCGTCCCGGGAGAGTACACCGAGCTCCCTAAGGGCTGCAGCTTGCACGGCGGGACCCGGGACCAGCTCGGAGGGGCTCAGGCGGCGGCTCCCCGGAGGCGGCTGCGTGGCCGGAATGAGAATCCAACAGCGCAGGCCCGGGAGCACTGGGCACCGGGACACAGCCCAGGATCCAGCCTCTCCCCCCCCCCCGACAGGCAGAGGCCGGGAGGGCCCAGGACCGCAAGGACGCTCCTGCCCCGAGCTGAGCAGATCAGCAGGGAGCATACAGGCCCTGCAGACCGAGAGCTCTGGAGTTACTGCGGGAGCTGACTCCAGGGCTCCAGAGCTGGCCGCCGCCACTGTGGTTGTGCCTCCTGGGGCCTCACGGGGTGAACAACCCCCACTGAGCCCTGCACCAGGCAGGGGGCGGAGCAGCTCCCCCAAGTGCTAACACCTGAAAATCAGCACAACAGGCCCCTCCCCCAGAAGACCAACTAGAGGGACAAGTTCCAGGGGAAGTCAAGGGACTTAAAGTATACAGAATCAGAAGAAACTCCCCTGTGTTTTTTTTTTTAATTTTTATTTTTATTTATTTATGATAGTCACAGAGAGAGAGAGAGAGAGAGAGAGAGAGGCAGAGACACAGGCAGAGGGACAAGCAGGCTCCATGCACCGGGAGCCCGACGTGGGACTCGATCCCGGGTCTCCAGGATCGGGCCCTGGGCCAAAGGCAGGCACCAAACCACTGCGCCACCCAGGGATCCCTCCCCTGTGATTTTTGTTTTTGTTTTTGTTTTTGTTTTGTTTTATTTGCTTTTTGATTTGTTTGCTTCCCCCACCCCCTTTTTCCTTTCTTTTTCTTTCTTTTTTTCTTCTTTTTTCCATTTTTCTTCCTTTTTTCTTTTTCTCTTTTCTTTCTTTTCCTCTCTCTCTTTTTCTCCTTTTCCCAACACAACTTGGTTTTGGCCACTCTGCACTGAGCAAATGACTAGAAGGAAAACCTCACCTCAAAAGAAAGAATCAGAAACAGTCTTCTCTCCCACAGAGTTACAAAATCTGGATTACACTTCAATGTCAGAAAGCCAATTCAGAAGCACTATTAAACAGCTACTGGTGACTCTAGAAAAAAAGCATAAAGGACTCAAGAGACTTCATGATTGCAGAATTTAGATCCAATCAGGCAGAAATTAAAAGTCAATTGAATGAGATGCAATCCAAACTAGAAGTCCTAACGATGAGGGTTAATGACGTGGAAGAACAAGTGACTGACATAGAAGACAAGTTGATGGCAAAGAGGGAAACTGAGGATAAAAGAGACAAACAATTAAAAGACCATGAAGATAGATTAAGGGAAATAAAGGACAGCCTGAAGGAGAAAAACCTACGTTTAATTGGGGTTCCCGAGGGCGCCGAAAGGGACAGAGGTCCAGAATATGTATTTGAACAAATCATAGCTGAAAACTTTCCTAATCTGGGAAGGGAAACAGGCATTCAGATCCAGGAAATAGAGATCCCCCCCCTAAAATCAATAAAAACCATTCAACACCTCGACATTTAATAGTTAAGCTTGCAAATTCCAAAGATAAAGAGAAGATCTTTAGAGCAGCAAGAGACAAGAAATCCCTGACTTTTATGGGGAGGAATATTAGGGTAACAGCAGACCTCTCCACAGAGACCTGGCAGGCCAGAAAGGGCTGGCAGGATATATTCAGGGTCCTGAATGAGAAGAACATGCAACCAAGAATACTTTATCCAGCAAGGCTCTCATTCAAAATGGAAGGAGAGATAAAGAGCTTCCAAGACAGGCAGGAACTGAAAGAATATGTGACCTCCAAACCAGCTCTGCAAGAAATTTTAAGGGGGACTCTTAAAATTCCCCTTTAAGAAGAGGTTCAGTGGAACAATCCACAAAAACAAGGACTGAATAGATATCATGATGACACTAAACTCATATCTGTCAATAGTAACTCTGAATGTGAACGGGCTTAATGACCCCATCAAAAGGCGCAGGGTTTCAGACTGGATAAAAAAGCAGGACCCATCTATTTGCTGTCTACAAGAGACTCATTTTAGACAGAAGGACACCTACAGCCTGAAAATAAAAGGTTGGAGAACCATTTACCATTCAAATGGTACTCAAAAGAAAGCAGGGGTAGCCATCCTTATATCAGATAAACTAAAATTTACCCCGAAGACTATAGTAAGAGATGAAGAGGGACACTATATCATACGTAAAGGATCTATCCAACAAGAGGACTTAACAATCCTCAATATATATGCCCCGAATGTGGGAACTACCAAATATATAAATCAATTAGTAACCAAAGTGAAGAAATACTTAGATAATAATAAACTTATACTTGGTGACTTCAATCTAGCTCTTTCTACCCTAGATAGGTCTTCTAAGCACAACATCTCTAAAGAAACGAGAGCTTTAAATGATACACTGGACCAGATGGATTTCACAGATATCTACAGAACTTTACCTCCAAACTCAACTGAAAACACATTCTTCTCAAGTGCACATGGAACTTTCTCCAGAATAGACCACATACTGGGTCACAAATCGGGGCTGAACCGATACCAAAAGATTGGGATCATCCCCTGCATATTCTCAGTCCATAATGCCTTGAAATTAGAACTAAATCACAACAAGAAGTTTGGAAGGACCTCAAACACGTGGAGGTTAAGGACCATTTTGCTAAAAGATGAAAGGGTCAACCAGGAAATTAAGGAAGAATTAAAAAGATTCATGGAAACTAATGAGAATGAAGATACAACCCTTCAAAATCTTTGGGATGCAGCAAAAGCAGTCCTGAGGGAGAAATACATCGCAATACAAGCATCCATTCAAAAACTGGAAAGAACTCAAATACAAAAGCTAACCTTACACATAAAGGAGCTAGAGAAAAAACAGCAAATAGATCCTACCCCCAGCAGAAGAAGAGAGTTAATAAAGATTCTAGCAGAACTCAACGAAATCAAGACGAGAAGAACTGTGGAACAGATCAACAGAACCAGGAGTTGGTTCTTTGAAAGAATTAATAAGATAGATAAACCACTAGCCAGCCTTATTAAAAAGAAGAGAGAGAAGACTCAAATTAATAAAATCATGAATGAGAAAGGAGAGATCACTACCAACACCAAGGAAATACAAACGATTTTTTTTAATCTTTTTTTTTTAATTTTTTAATTTTTATTTATTTATGATAGTCACAGAGAGAGAGAGAGGCAGAGACACAGGCAGAGGGAGAAGCAGGCTCCATGCACTGGGAGCCTGATGTGGGATTCGATCCCGGGTCTCCAGGATCGTGCCCTGGGCCAAAGGCAGGGGCCAAACCGCTGCGCCACCCAGGGATCCCAATACAAACGATTTTAAAAACATATTATGAACAACTATATGCCAATAAATTAGGCAATCTGGAAGAAATGGACGCATTTCTGGAAAGCCACAAACTACCAAAACTGGAACAGGAAGAAATAGAAAACCTGAACAGGCCAATAACCAGGGAGGAAATTGAAGAAGTCATCAGAAACCTCCCAAGACACAAGAGTCCAGGGCCAAATGGCTTCCCAGGGGAATTCTATCAAACGTTTAAAGGAGAAACCATACCTATTCTACTAAAACTGTTTGGAAAGATAGAAAGAGATGGAGTACTTCCAAATTCGTTCTATGAGGCCAGCATCACCTTAATTCCTTAATTCCAAAACCAGACAAAGACCCCACCAAAAAGGAGAATTACAGACCAATATCCCTGATGAACATGGATGCAAAAATTCTCAACAAGATACTTACTAGCCAATAGGATCTAACAGCACATTAAGAAAATTATTCACCATGACCAAGTAGGATTTATCCCCGGGACACAAGGCTGGTTCAACACTCGTAAAACAATCATTGTGATTCATCATATCAGCAAGAGAAAAACCAAGAACCATATGATCCTCTCATTAGATGCAGAGAAAGCATTTGACAAAATACAGCATCCATTCCTGATCAAAACTCTTCAGAGTGTAGGGATAGAGGGAACATTCCTCAACATCTTAAAAGCCATCTACGAAAAGCCCACAGCAAATATCATTCTCAATGGGGAAGCACTGGGAGCCTTTCCCCTAAGATCAGGAACAAGACAGGGATGTCCACTCTCACCACTGCTATTCAACTTAGTCCTGGAAGTCCTAGCCTCAGCAATCAGACAACAAAAAGACATTAAAGGCATTCAAATTGGCAAAGAAGAAGTAAAACTCTCCCTCTTCACCGATGACATGATACTCTACATAGAAAACGCAAAAGCCTCCACCCCAAGATTGCTAGAACTCATGCAGCAATTTGGTAGTGTG